TAAAATATGTGTGATTAGTGTTCCAGTTACTGCACAAGTCCAGTCACGCTCGTGTGCATTCCCGATTTACTTCTCGTAAGAAACGGAAACAAACATTCTTTATATCAAACATATCAAGATACATTTATGAATTTAGATCTTAGAAATTTAGAATTCGAAATATCTTCAACGATTAGTTAGTCTATCCCAATATTTAATTATTGAATATTTTATTTTCTATCCGTCTTTTCTCGCGATAGCACTAAAAGATATCCTTGAAGTTAATCTTAAAATCGTTTTTCCACGAATCTCAAATTCGCGATCGTTACGATGCTAATTTGATTACGTACCTTGTATCGTTCAGGTGATGAGGGCTCTCGTAAACGAAAAGTAGTGATAAAGTAAAGCGATTTAAAACAAAACCACACACAGAGAATATACAGATATATATGCAAAGCGTGCGCGCTTGATCGAGATAGTAAGAGACGCAGAGGAAGGATGACAGGTAGGCGGGAAATCAAAGTCGACGCGGAGCTCATGGCTCCATCTGTAGTCAGCGAAGTAGATTTGCGTTGCGTGTTACTCGCCCCAGCATCCGCGCATCATCCCATCGTGGAATAAGCGGCGCGTTTTGAGGAGTGCATGTGGCCTACAATAAAGTTGAAGAAAGGTCACGAAGCGTGGGTTGTGCAATTACTTTTCATCGAACGTAATTGCGGGACCTGTTCGCGCAAGAAAAAGAGCAGGAGAAGCAAGGGGGAGGAAAGGGGAGGAAAAACTTCTCTATGTTTCGCTCGAACCTTGTGTTAAACGCAAACGAGGGTTTCGTGAGATAATTTTTCAGCCAAGGGCTAAATGAATAGTTCCCTTGAGAGATACAGCCTCACTCGAAACAGGCGGAGGAAGTGAAAGTGTACGAAATCATTTACCATGATATTGTAATGACTTTGAAAAAAGTATCACGGAATATATAATGCTATATTTACCATAGAAATTTCCTTATTTCCGAGCAAAATATACATAGAGACATTTCTATGATTATAAATCCTATACATTTTTAAACACAGATTATCAAAGAAAAAACTTAAAAAACTATAAAAATTTAGAAATCTGAGAGTCACTCTTCCATTCTTTCTTCTCTTTATATTATTACAATAATAAAAATTCAATATTCAATCCTTGTGTTGTTCAACTGTCAAAAATTTTTCTTATAAAGAAGAAAAATGAGAATCTTTCTAACTTTCCCCAGAAAACTATTCGACTATGAAATTTAAAAATATGGCATTCACAGGTAAAAAAGGAAAGGGTTCACGCTATTCATAGATACAATTCTGCGAAAGACTCAATAAAAGTGCGTGGTTCAAAACGAGAGCAAACGTTTCAGATGCCGTTATAAATACGAAGCGTTTGCATAACGTTCGTTTGGAAAATAATTTGCGTAATTTGTAATTGGTCTCTCAAGTGATTTTTCATCGTAAAAGACCAAGAGATAGTTTAAATGATTCGAAAGGCATTATCAATTTTGGTTAATGCCTCTACAAAAATTTGAGACGTTTCGATACAAAATATAATAACATCCGATCATTGTTATTTTTTGCTTTCCATTTCCATTTTAAATAGCTAAAATTGCATGTTAAATCGGAATTACATTGATTTAAAAACACAAAAGTTGAAAAATGTATTTAACTGACATTGTTTCATTGCATTTGTTGCTCATATATTTAAATCATTTATCTTACAATTTGAATTTTATGCTTTCTATTTTACGCATTTAATTTTACATAAACGAAAAAATGTTTAGTGAGAAAACAGCAGTAGATGTTTGTTTTTAGTTTATTTTAGTAATATATTTTCGATATTTCTACGAAGAAGGATAAGTGCAAATGCTAAACCCGGATCTACAATAGGTGTAGTAAGCTTCAAGCTATAAGAAATTACAATTGATCAATCACAATCAAATGCGAAAATAATAAATTGTTATTGGTAATTTTCTTACGACTTAAGGCTTACTATATCTATTGCAGATCCGACCTAAACAATTTATTAAACACAAAACAAAAGCAACGAAGATATCTAAAATAGTACTCGAAAAGAAATGCTAGTACTAATATATATTTTTGAAAAAAGGAAGAAGATGCTTATCATAAAACTTAAGAAAAAATTATCAGAAGTCTAATATATTCAATATGCGTTTGACATAGTTACATTATTATGTATCTATCGTATCTGCAGATAATTCTAAGAATAAAATATATTTTTTTTTTTATTACTATAATATGTTTGTTTTAAGCAACATCTTATTTTAGATGATAATAACATGACGATTAGGAAAAAGACTTAGCTGTAAAAAAAAAGAGCGGCTACTATCCAAGTCCATAATCTCGATTTCGGCAATATTTGTCATGATTTTAAATATGTCTAGAATTTTAATTACCGTTAATTAGTCGATTTTTATAGCTCCAGGCAAATTTATGTCATATGTGAAAATTCTCTGCTAGGTAAAAGTAACTTTCGTTTTACATGTTCTTCGATATATCATTCGGCATAAGCAGGTATTAGAAAAACGGCGCGTTTTAAGGAAAAATACCGACAGAAAATCTTGACATACAAGCGAGCGATCGAGCGTTATAAGCATTGAATTTATTTGCCCTCGAGCACAATCCGAGATCGCCACGTGCTATCACGATCGTCCCTCCAAAGACGTGTCTCGAGAATCATCTCATTATACGCGCACGTAAGTGCGTGATATATTCGTTCATGTCAAGTCTTATAAAAACGCGTAGTCGTTTCGACGCATTTCGCATTAAATGTCACATTCTAAATAGCAAACTATCACGTAAAACAAATTGCTATAAATTATTTCCTTGAACCTACAGAAGCGAAGTTTCTACATGTGGTCGTTGTCACTACTGCTAAAACTGTTTCTCACGTTACTGTTTGCCCGAAAGAATAACACGAAAATGCGTGTTCCGTCTAATATGTGGCGACATTAAGTCGACATTGCAGAAAAAAAGGATAAATAACTCACTGTGACTAAAGAAGATATTTTTTTCTTAAAGATTGATTATACTTAAAATTCGTGACGTATATGTTAAAAAAATTATTCACAGAATAATTAATTGGCTTCAGTCGAGGTTGCTCTTTTTGTATATCATCGTAAATTTTAGTTACTTTAAAATAGTAAAAAAATACTTGCGCAGATTTCTTTCAAAATTATTTTTCTAGTATAAAAAAAGATTAAGAAAATTTTAATAATAATTAAAATGTACAAAATGGAAAGATAGTGTGTGGTAATGTAATTTTTATAATATTATGATATTCAAATCAAATCAAAATCTGTCTCCAAAATACTATAAATTTATTTTATAAACAAGTTTTTGTACTCTTGTTCTTTTGATTTTAGCCGCCGATTTTTATGTGGATCGATATATCACTGAAAAAAATATAATCTGTAATAGAGAAGATAAATCCCGTTTTTTCTCTACAAGAAAAAAAAAGCAAACATATCGCAAAGAGAGTTTACTTCGAGAATCTGAGTCCGTATGTCGTAGGTAGATATCTAAGATTCACAAAGGGTAGGAGAAGATACAAAGAAAGGAGTAGGAAAAGACGAGAGGAAAGGGTAAAGCGTTGAAGCCCCTCCCTCGTCAACCCCCACCACCAAGTGTAGAAGGATTATCCGGTCGTCCAGCAAAATCCCCACCAAAGGTACGACAGGACCGCAACCCACCTGTACCACTTGGATAGACTGTGCCGATCCGACGCACAGTATGCCTATAAGGCCCATTCGAGAAACACTTACGAGAGCGAGCCGTGCCGCACGGCAAACGAGCGAGCGAACGGAAACTCGATCCAAGTGGGACCGTGGAAAATAAATGTGCAGAAGTGGGGGCCGATTCAAGAATCGACGTGGACACCCTCACCTACCAAAGTCATTCACCTAACGGTCATCGGCGCGTCAAGAGTCTTCATTTTCTTCCGTTATCCGGTCGCACCAGTCGCGAGAATTCGCATTCGCCGTCGTCGGTTCGCGACCTTTTGCACGAAACTAGTCGCGGCAAGGAGGCAATCAAGAGGCACGGACTGGTGCGGTTCAACTTGAGGTTCAATTCGTTCGATGCTGTTAGTAGTGATTTCTCTTCCATGTCGAGCGGATATCTTTTCGGATAGAAGACTTGACACATGTTAATAACGTCAAGAGACCTTATTTAGAAATGTATGCATTGTGGAAAGTACCCTCCTAAGTGTGTTTGATTGACCGTGGAATTTTGTGTCGTGTTGCTCTCATCTGTGATCACCCGAGGACAATGAACAAAAATTTTCGGTGTCTTGTGCCTTGTCAAATGCGAATGTTGAGGTGACCAGTGGCGAAGAGCGCCACTAGAAGACTTGCCTTCGAAGATTAGTGGTGATTCAGTGGAATAGAATCCAACTGAGCCAAATCGATGCTGAATGCTGTTCACATCTGTCCTTAACTCATCGTAACGACAAAAGTATGTAACACATTTCATAATAATTTCATCGTCTCATTAAAATCTTTCACACCGATATCGGAGCATCATCAAAATTCTTAACGCAACGTTCGATTAGTTCCAGAAATTATGTTGTTGACAAATATTTAAATAAATACCATGCATCGAAAAAATATGATTAATTATGGAAAAATAGATTTATTCAAAGCCACGAGGAGACATCGGCATAACGATTTTGATTCGACAAAAGATATGTGTTTAGATAATAAACGATACAACTTTCGATCGATTAGAATTATCGATACGATCGCAATTCCTTGCAATTAATCAAGTTTCTAATCGCATTTATTCGTATTTGATAGAATCTTAATGATATTGGGTCGCGTCGTGCCTCGAAAACGACGATCGGGAACGATCGAGAACGCGAGAGCGATGAGAATTTGCTTCGGAATCGTTTCGTCGCGGATTTAGATGCCGTGATGAGTTCTCTCACTCGTGACTCGTCAATTCTGTCAGACGCGCGTGCATCCGCGAACCTGTTTGTCATCGTAAAACGTAGCATTTGTCCGCGACTTCATACAAGCCGCGATAAATCGGCCGTCGTGTCGATCGTATGTACGGTTGCGATATATAAAATAAAATCGGAATCATCGTCATTGCGTCGCACGCAGGCCGATGCGAAGGACAGATTGGCGGAACGTATGTTGCGGAACGTCGTGCCGTTTCGAAAGAACGGAAGTTGTTCTTCGCAAACTGGAGCACCGCCGTTCGCTGAGATGAGGTTGCGAGATGCCGGAAGCGCTTCCTCGCAGGCCGATCGATCGCCGTATCGATTGGCGTTCGAGCGGAATCCTCCGATCAATTTGGATATGAACGTGCACGTGCGAGCGATGGGCTGATATTTGGAATAGTAGCGAGCGGCCTGTAAGCAATAACAAGATGAATCGCCGTCGGCCGCCGCTGTGACTATGATACGTAGCAAATCTTACGTACATACATATACGTGTCATGTTTTCTGATACTAAAGAAAAGAGAAATATGGGATCTCTCTTTGTTATTTAATAACACATCAATTGTGTTTTTCAAGTTTCGACCTCCTAAATAAAAACTTCCTAATAAAAACAAACAATAAAAATGTATCCGCCTTTTACATTCTTTTGCCACGTTCACGTTGAAAAAAATTCCACCGTATTATTTCTTTCTTTGTTTATCATCGTTTGTTTCAATAAAGCCGATTTACAGCAATTGAAAAATAGGAACGATCTTATAAAAAAATGCGATATCTAGTAGAAAGCGAAAATAAATATAAAAGAAAATTGTAATGTAATATTTTTCATAATAATATACGATAATTCGCGAAAATATCTTCAAACACTTTTCCTTTTCCAAGAAAAATTTTTAAGACTCATTTTAAAAGCTTTAAGGACAAACTTTTTAAGGAGGATTTTATGTATATAGTTAAAAGCCTTACATCGCCTTGAAAATTCTAATTACACACCAGTTTTTTTAGGCAAGCTTCATTTATTACAGGGCGTAGTGATTTTGCAATACAATAGATAAAAGAATTTCAGTGATTCATTTCTACATACTTGTACATTCTGACCGCAAAAAGGGTCGGTTAAGATAAGTCTTTTGGTTCGAAAGAATAGCTCAACGTTTTTTTAACGTTCCGGATTTTTCGTTGCTATCATCTCTTTAGAGAGAGAAAGAGAGAGAGGGAGGAATACTTTTTTTTTCTGCAAGAAAAAGTGTATAGAATATTAGATTCATTTTCTCTATTTAGCCACTTCAATAGCAACTCAGCGAAAAACATGAGGATGAGGTGAGAACGATTTTTGCTTTTTTTCTTCGTTAGAATCATTCTCGTTTTTTTCTTTTTTTTTTTTGGGCAACGTGAAAGTCTATTTTTTTCGGCGATGAAAGGCACAGTGGGTGGTTGTTTGTAGAGGATATCGGCATGAGAAAGGAGAACAAATGCGGCACGGTTTGCAGGAATTGCCACGATCGAATGCTTGGCGAACGTCCTGACAGATGTGCATCAAATGTCTCGCAGTCACCGTCGATGATCACCGGGCAGAGACTTTCCGATTCGCGGGAGTCGTTACGATTCTCACGGCTCTGCACGGATCCGCGCTTGCTTGGCGCAAGAGTCCGCAAGGTCAGGCCTCGTGGCGGTCCCCGACGATCTTGGCGATGATCGTTGCCGCCGAGATCCGCTCTCGACGATAATACGCGCCGAGTCTCGTCGTCGGTAGACAGGAGTGCCGAGAGACGCGAGTGCTTATTACGGAGCACCTTTGCGCCCGCATGAGCGGCGACGAATCGAAGATCGGATCGCCTTTTATTATTGCCGGACACTAGATTCGCACGCTCGTGTCCGGGTGTCTCGAGAAGAGTGACTCGTTTCCGCGATAACGCTTCGTTATGACGCAGACGTAAACATGGGTACAACTGAGCGAACGAATAGCGTATCAACCTTAAAGAGACTAGATTCTCCTGCTGTCACGAGGAAACGATCATCGGAAAATTGGAGGGAAAACAATACGTAGCTCGCGATAATAACTCGTAATCTCTAATACGCGAGTCGCGCGAGCTATTACGATTACCGAGCCGTGAATCAGCTGTTTGCATGCGCCGACTGAGGCGGATAGAGATCGGCGTAACAAGCGCGCGGCGACCACTTACGTTGTCAAGTGTAATTGTGAAATTCCCGATTACGCCGAATAATTCTCGCGAACCGAGATAGCGTTTATTAATCACCTAGGCAAAACCAATGATTTCGTTTATAGAAATATTATATTCAGCAAATAAAAATCACCTATCATTATATTGGCATTTTTATGCTACTTTCGTTAAGATTTTTCACATACACACAATCGTCAAATTTTTAAATATTTTTAATAATGATTATTTCATTTTTTGTGACTATAATATTTCAATATCATGACATGCAATCTTCTTCTCTTCTCCAGATTGCTTCTCTTTTCAGATTTCTCTCTTCAAATCGCTTTTTTCGGGCGCATATTTTATTTGATTTAAATATTTTGATCTATGTTATTATTTTTCTTTGCATTTTGATTTATTTTTCACATTATTGTTGATTTACTTCTATCTACTGTAACAGACTTCTTGCCGTGGTTATATCTGGTAGAAGCACAGATTTCTTATCTTAATTAGGTCTTGTAGCAATAGCATTATAGTCGTCTCGCCTTTTACATTCATCTATTGACTTATAAATTTTTTTTTGTGAATAATATCAGTAACCTTGTTTACTATCTTAATGTATTTTCACTCAAGAAAGTTGTTATTAATAGTTGCACGTAACTTTTGAATATTATTATATGGTTTATATATATTGTAAAGTAATTATTATATATAAAGAGTAAATAGAAGAAATATTTCTATATTATCAATTGATTATATTTTATAATTTGATATTTATTCGATATTTTGTTTTATAATACTATGATTTTTTATATTTTACGGCTATTATTTATTTTTTCAACGGAATCTAATTCGCTAACCTCATTCGATTTTATCTGACGACATTGTGTGTATCTTGTTGCGACACCTCAACACGACACAATATCATTTAAACATCGCGATTGCATCGACGTGGAACGCATGGGCATCCACCGAATGAGATTTACCTGTTACCGGATGTACTCTACCTCTATTAACACAGGTTGCTGTTGGTCAGGCGTCGCGGTTGTGTTGGTTTATTATCAAGACGAATACCATTTAATCCTTATCGACGAAGAATTCAAATTTGGGAAAAGATAGAACAGGCTCTCCGACTATCGTTAATGAATAGTATACTGAATAATTTAGTTACAATTGAGAAATACTCGGCGACGTTACTTAAGTTTGTCAGTCATCGAACGTCAACGAGCAAACACGAAAATACGCTAGTTTTTCGGCTATATTGAAAAAATATCGCAAACTGTAGCAATAGAATGAAGAAGAGATAAACTAAAGTTAGAAGAGGTAAGATAATCTTAAACGTAAGAAGAGATAAACTAAAATAAATTATTGTGATTGTTGATATAAATCAAAAAAATTATAATATATAATATCATAATATCGTAACGTGATTTTGTGCTGCGTGTGTAACGCGGCGGGAAGTAAGCGTGCGAACACAGATAAGTGAAAAAATATGAACGCGTAATTGCGTGGTGGTGCGTACAAGCCTGTAGAAATATACCGCGGCAGAAACGGCGGCATCCGCGAATGACAAGTGTCAACGACTGTTGGGTGTAGGTCAGGAGAGAGAGACTCCGTTGATCAAACAACGTAGATGTCTCTTCCATTAGTTGAGATTTACTTTCCCATTTAGCGACAGTCCGTCACGTATGAAAGTCGTCGGAGGTGGGCACAGTTGTGCCCTCGGGCCCGCGGTACAAGCATCTAGGTCACCGCTATTGTCCCATATATTCTTGATCTTCTGACATTTTGTTAAAAAAACATAAAATAAAATAAAATAAAAGCCGGATGAATATCGAAAACGCAGATGACGCGCGTCGCGAATGGACGAGTTCGAAAAAGGAGAAACGATAGAAATAAAAAAAAGAGCAAGGAACATTACGGAGGTAGGAGTCGATTGTCTCTGTTTCGGAACGAAGCATCGCTTCGCTGGCCTACACAAATGCACGTTATGCAAGGGATCGCGGCGAGGAAATAAAAGCGACGAGGTGTGAAAACGAGACCGCGGAGCCACGGTTCGTTTTCTGGACGATCGGCCAAAGAAGGCGAAAGGAGCCGGCTCGGCGGAACGGGCGCGAGAAAGAGAGACAGAAAACACGACTAAGGGAAAAAAAAAAGCAAGCGCAAGAGTTTTCCGCTCGTTGAACGTAACACGCACCGCTTTGCCACGATCCAGCGATTCGCGTGCGCGCGCGCGGGCTGCACTGCAAAGCGGCGCATTATGCAACGCGCCTCTTCTCTTACTCAATCGCGCGCTCGATCGGTGTAGGCGCACGATAAAGATTGCATCGCCGACTTGTCAAACGTACGTGTATCTTCGACCGATCCACTTTCCGTTTCCGTCGCGTAGGAAGTGATTCGTTAGAGAAACATCGCATTATCGTTTTATGGTATTGCAACAAACTTATATTAGTCAGCTTCTTATAATTTCAGTATCTAATAATCCTATTCTAGTATCTTCTAATGGCATACATATTTATAAATCATATATTCAGCGAATATTTATAACATAAAAATGACAATATAGGATCTGAGGAGATGTGTGGAAATAATGATTAAATGAATTGTTTAGAGTAGAAGTAGAATATAATGGTTGAATAAATTTTTGCTACGGATCTCTACTTCATTCATTATTTTGGGGAACTGTCTATGTATTATTATTGCACAAAAATACTGCATCATCTAGAGATAGAATTCACTTTCAAATCTTGTATAATTTCTCGTGTATAGATTTGAGTGATAAAATTTTAGAAACGTTTGGTATTTATACGAAAACAAGTTTCTATCGCGAAAACAATAAAGAGTCGATAGCAATTATATTTTAGCAGACTTCTTGTTTTACTTTGAACCAATATTATAAATAATATTGAATTATTAAATATGATAAAGGATTGATATCTCTTTCTGAGAGAAGAGCTATTTTTTTAAATACGCTATATCTAAGAAATTAAAATTTTTCTTTGCTTTAATCTCTGAGATAATATGTGTGTTAGCATTTTTAAAATATACATAATTCATACGCTCGTTAATGCAACCAGAAATCAGCTATAGTACAACTATTGTTTTCTCTTACAGATGAACCAGCAATGCAAGGTATGCGGCGAACCAGCGGCTGGCTTCCACTTTGGCGCGTTCACCTGCGAGGGCTGCAAGGTAAAAAATCTTGCAGTTTAATATCAAAGCTTTTTCGTCTCTATCTTTTAACTTTAGAATATTACTACGTTGAAAATTATCAATAAAAAAATCACCGATTGATGTAAGTGTTCTCTCTCTCTGCCTTCGCTTAAATTTAATAACCCGCGTTATCTTATGATTTTCGCAATAAATGATTATTTGGTTTAAAAAACTATGGCATTTTAAATATAGGCACTATCTGCGTAATCGTTATCATTCGTATTTTTCCTATATCATTGAAATATTGAGATGTAACTATACACGGAAACATACAAATTAGATAAAACAGAAAGAATGACATAAAACCGAGAGACCAAACTTCTTCACATAATGTGATCGGGATACACCGTCACCGCAAGCGGGGACACGCGTTCCGGAGAATCGCTCTACCGAGAGAGACAACGGGCATAAAGGAAATCGATCTCGCCGTCAAAAAAGCGCGGCACGTCTGTGATCGAGAGAGAAGAGAACCTCGCTCCTGATCAATCGGTCTAATAGCGATGACGTTTTCCTCGGTGGCTCGTTCGCACTTTTTCTCGGTCGGCGCGACACGCTGCGCCGAGCGGGGCGACTCTCTTTCCCGTGGTTTCGCAAAGGCCCAGAGCGGCAGGTCGGCAAGCGAGCGGTCGCTTTCACGACTAGCTTCGTAGCCGAGGTTAAACGTTCGGTCAGGCATGCGTGTCAACCTAGCTCGAGGGGGTCCAAAAACGGCAACAAGCATACGCGAGGGATTCGATTAATAAAAAGCGACGAACACCACGCCGATCTCCGCGCGGCATCAGCGTTGGATCGCTCGCTCGAGAAGCGTGAAGCGAGAAAAACGAGAGCGGTAGCGGGGGAAGGGCCGCGGAATTGCGGAGAGAAGGGAGAACTGACATGCTACGATGGGCCTGAAAACGAAAATAACGAAACGAAACAATGTCGTGCTGACGTAACCGTGAACTAGGGCGGAAACAATTGTGGCGGACAAGTGCGAAGCACCGGAAGCGGCGTCTCGAGGCGGCACGGTGATCGGAACGAGAAAGGGGGGCCTCGCACGTGCGTCCGCCGGGGTTCCCTCTTCTCTTTTTTTTTTTTCTCGTTGAAAAATCTCTTAACGATTGTGATTAAAATCCTTCGCGCGTAGAATTAGAGACGCCATAAAAGTATTCCGAAAAGGTGTGCGAAGGATAAGAATAGAATTAAAAGAAAATTAAAAAAAGAAATTTATTTCAAAAAATAATAAATTTTTGCTCGTTAGCCACAGCCGTTGTTCTTTAAGCATATTTAATATTTGACGATGATTAAAAAGAATTGCGAGATAACGCGCCACGAATCAAATTTCTTAAATTCATTAATTTTTTTCTCGCGAATATATTAAAACAAACTTCCCAAAGACTCAATAATGATCGTCCAAAGCTGGTGCTACGAAACGAGCGTGTCGTGGCTTTCAAGTAGGGCCGTTTGCATAACTTCAGCGTGCACAACGAATGAAGGGGGCGTGCGGCCGGGAAGAGGGGGCACGTAATAACGGTAGCATTTTCTCAATTGTGTCATCGCTTCTGAAGCGTCGCGCGTTCCTTTTCTTACTCGCGTAAGCGACGTCGGCAAGAAGGTGGAGGACAAACGGCGACGTCGACGGCGAAAATAAGTGGAACGCGATGCCGGCCCATAGGTCTCGGCAATGCGCGCATCGGGACCACCAGGCCGCAGGAAGAGCTCGTTTCCAGGACAAACGAACCAGAAACGATTAATAATATAGCGTGCGTACGGGCAGAAAAAGCGAAAGTGGACAACGCGGTCGCGCGGGCGTCCCTTTAAATGCTCGACGATTCGCGATGTGACAGTCCGTTGTGCGCCGAGCGACATATTAATCGCGACGATTGAGAAATTCTAGATGTCAATTCAACCGAAACTGTTGTCTCGCAACGATCCGATTGTAAAAGAAGCAACATTTCGCAATATACGTTTGAAACTATTGTAAAACGATTATTTAAGATTTTATCAAAATAATTGATATATACTAATTCCATGAAACCTTCTCTGTACAAAAATCGTGGCAAATTATTTTAAAATTTATTTTAAAATAATGAAAATAAAATTAGGTCCATTTATATCTCAGTCGAAATATGTATGATATTATGTAAAACGGTAAGATAATTTTATACGTATTTTCTCCTGCGAAAAAATAGG